ACAAATGTGCTTTACACAACTGATGTATGTATGGATTGTGATGAGTTGTATGAGCCCCTAAGAAAATGATTTTTAAAAAAGAAAAAGGAAGACTAGAGGAAGAATACTTTTGGGGAAAGGGGAGTGGAATCGAGAGTATGGTTTTGAATACTGTCTCTTAAACCTCCTCCTAGTGAAGTTATTGAGTAACTAGCCAAGTGTGTACGTATTTGGTACCTGAAGCATGAAAGTAGATAAATATGAATTCATGTACATTTAGGTGGGTGAGAAATTAACTATTTGGGCTGAGACGTATACATTCAATAAAAAACAAAATGAAAGCATTTCTCACTGACATGGAGCTGATTCTGACTCACAGCAACCTATAGGACAGAAGAGAACTGTGCTTGTGGACTTCCGAAGCTAAAACTCTTTATGAGTAGAAAGCTTTGTCTTTCCTCCATGGAGCAGCTGGTGACGCCGCTGTTAGTAGCGAGCAGTGCAAAGAGTAGCTTCTCACTCTTTAATTCTATGTTAGCACACTAATACTAAACTTTAAAATACAGCAATATGGGGACACTGGTCACAATGATCGACGTGTAACCCCTAGCCAAGGGGTGTGAACAACAGAAATGTGGGCAAAGAGACAGTGGATACTGTATGATATGAAAATAATAATATTTTATAATTTATCAGGGGTCCATGAGAGTGGGTCAGAGAGGGAGGGAAAAAAGAGGAGATAATACCAAGGGCTCAAGCAGAAAAAAAAATGGTTTGAAAATGATGGCAATGTATGTACAGATGTGCTTGATACAATTGATGTATGGATTGTTACAAGAGCTGTAAGAACCCCCAATAAAATGATTTATTACTTTTTAAATACAGCAATATTCAGTAGACTTCAGATGCAGTAGGGAGGCTTCTGTCCACCTTGCCACAGAATGACTGCTAGACACTATTCACTTGAGAATGCCTATGCCACTTACAAAAAGAAACACAAACAAGACTGAAAATATTAAAACCCAAGTTATTTTGTTCTTAATCCCTATTTAAAACACCTATTTTCAGAGATAAAAATGTTACATCTTAGTTTTCCAGTCATTTCTGTATGGACTGAGACTAAGCATTAAAAAATTTTTTGGAAACATTTTATTAGGAGCTCTTATAGATATTATTACAATCCACAGTTCCATTAGATCAAGCATAATTGCTGCCATCATCATTTTCAATATTTTCTTTGCTTCTTCAACTCCTTGATATCAGTTCCCCTTTATCCCCTCCTTCCCTCATCCTACCACGCCCTTAATCCTCAATATATTACATAGTGTTATATTTGTTTGTTTGTTTGTCATAACTTTCCCCATCCCATGTATCCAATCACCTAAAATTCTGATGTTCTCTCTCTTTGAGAGGGGTTATTTAGTCATCATTACACTCAGTTCCCCCTCCCTCCCTTCCCATACCCTCAGGGAGTCATTACTCCCCTTACTGTTGCTGAGGGATTTATCCATCTTGACTTTCGTGCATTGAAAGATCTTGATTGCACCCATGTTCATATGCAGGTCTAGCAAGATTAGTGAGGTAAAACTAAGGTCACGATAGTGGGAGAAAATTTTAAAGAACTAAAGAATAATTGTGTGTTTCATCCATGCTCTAACTGCACCCTTGATATATATAGTCCCTTCCGTATGGCCCTTGTGAAGGACTGTCAGGTGATCTTTGGGTTCTCCACCTTACCTATGTTCCTTCATGTCAGTTAATTTTTTAAAAATTTCTGATACCTATTCCTGTCAATACCTCACAATCACACAGACTGGTGTGCTTCTTCTTCCATGTGGGCTTTGTTGCTTCCCTGCTAGATGGCTCCTTGTTTAACTTCAAGCCTTTTAACACCCCAGACACTGTATCTTTTACAAGCCGGACATGATCAGCTTTCTTTACCACATTTGCTTATGCACCCATTTTGTTTTCAGCAAGTGTCGGGAAGGTGATTATCAGACATTGCCACATTATTAGAACAAACCATTCTTATACTGAGGTAGGATTTAAGTAGAGGCCCAAAGTCTATCTGCTTCCTTACTGTATTTACGAGTTCAGAATTACGTACTCTATAGGTGAAAAAAGCTGAAAATATGAACTGTTAGATATTGCAAAAACTGGTGTGATTTAAAATAAAACAAGAGATTAGTAATATTTACTTTAAAAACAAATGAAAGTAACATTCCTTACTGTGTTTCAAATTTGGTAGGAATTATCTTCTTATGCAATTTTGACATAAAAGGCCCTTTTGAAACACTTTCATGAAGTTATTTACATTTCTTTCCACACCAAGGACTATAGAACTGTTTTTCTTTTTAAGTTTCCATTTGTCTAGTACAAAGGCTTTACTACTTTTTTTGGTATTCTTACCAAAAATTCAATATATGCATTCAATAAATGCAGTCACATGAGTTTTTATTCACCTACTTAGGCCTAAATTCTCAAAATTATTACAATGTAACAAGCAATAAGGTGTTATAAAAGAAAGTCTAACTGTACATTTCAAGCAAATGAGAAATCAGAGGATACATTTTAGAAAGAACACTTTTTTCTTGTTTCCATTCCCTCACTTGCACCTCTGGTGGGGTCAACACAGCACAAAGAATGTCTAAGTGATAACAAAACAACCTGAACAGGATAAGATCTTTCAAGGGCATCAGCCCATGGCACTTTAAATACATGAATAATAAATACTTCATTTTACCATTACACAAAATAAAATGCAATAAAAAGTGAAAATATATTTCCTTTTATCGTTTTTATCACAGAATGGAAAAAATCCATGCAGATGTGGAAAACTCGATAGGACAATGGTTACCAAAGATAGATGATTCTGAACCATCTAGATCAACGGTTCTCAACCGGTGGGTCGCGACCCTTTGGGAGGTCGAACGACCCTTTCACAGGGTCCCCCAATTTATAACAGTAGCAAAATTATAGTTATGAAGTGGCAATGAAAATAATTTTATGGTTGGGGGATCACCACAACACGAGCAACTGTATTAAAGGGTCGAGGCATTAGAAAGGTTGCGAACCACTGCTCTAGATCATTGTCAACGGGAAAGCATGGTACTAAAAAAGGAATGCAGTTCAATCATTGAAAAGTTGTATGTAAAACTAATTTTATTAATGAAGTAACATTAGAAGTGAAAATACTTCCATATACTTGTGTAATTACCTACTACTATATTTAATTATATATCTTATCTGCAATCAGTATCTTCACCAGGAATCTGATAGAGGCAAGTGTTTTACAGGTAAGGAAACTGTCTAACGGTGTATTCTTGTAGTTCTTATTCTAGAGCAAGCAATGGGAAGGTTTTCATTAAACAGATTCTTATGCCACAGTCATTTACACAGCATAGACTCCTTCAATAAATACATTACCTACGAATTTATCTTCTATGTAAATTTCAATTTTCACACAGTGGGTTCACATCAAGATACATGTATAGAGTATAAATACCCAAGGTCTCCATAAAAGGATATAATTCCCTTTTCTGTAAAAAAGTAAAATAATATCTGCAATTTTCAACTTGCATCTATTAACACATAAATGTTAGTCATCATGGAGTTAACTGCATAGATCTTTACCCTCTTTATTCCCTTGCCTTACCTTTACTGACAGCATAATCCTGCATGCTGATCCATAGACTTCGTGCAGGCTCTTTTGAACAACCCAATGCCAAGTCTACATAGACAGAAATTTCAGGCCGCAATTTGTAATCAAAGGGCTTCTGTTCTTCATTACCTGAAAGAGCTACTTCCAGTAGGCAACTCATACATTTATCTAAAAAGAAAAACATTACTCAGGTCATTAATGTTAAAACTCACAAATTTTAGAGCCGATAAAATCTTGTCAGCTATCTATTTAATGCACATGAAATGATCTCCTCCAAACCAGTTTAAGTAAACGCCACAGAGGCAGATTCTTTCATGTTCCTCAATCTGTAACGCCCCTCCTACCCTCTCCAGAAGAATTTAGCAATGTACACAGGACTGTTGGCATTTTGGTGGGCAAGACCAGGGATGCTAACTGTCTTAAGGTTCAGAATAGCATGAATCAACAAAACAGGGTTTAATGAAAATAGAACGGCAGCCCCATTGAGCACCAGGAAGCCACTGAGAAAGTCACCACTCTTAATTTGGAAAAGAAAGGAAATCTTTCATTGCTCCCCTGAATTCCACACTCTAACCCTCTTACCTCTAAAGCAAAATTTTCCTCTCATTTTTTCAGCGTTTCATTACCACCCACCACCCTCGTTTCTCCTAGGCTTTTTCTTGGATACTTGCTGAGTCTCTCGTATGACAAAAATAATGAATTTTTAGTAAAACCATACAAAGTATCTAATCTAGCTCATTGTTTTATATAATCAAAATTAGAGGCCCTGAAAGATTAAAGGACTGATTCAAATTAAGACATCTAGGTCATCTATTAGGTTATTGGAGAAGACCTCCTATTCTGATTGAGTTAGCATGTGGTATACAATGAGAGATGTGACAAAAGGGGAGACCCCCAAAAGCACTGTAAATGGAAGGGAAAATGGACGTGGAATCACCCAAGATGCCACCAGCCCTGACAGCAGGGCAGGCTGGGGGAGAAGGGCCTGCCACTCACTCAGGGAGGTGCTGGATCAGAGTACTGGGAAGCCAGGCTTTATACTGCTCCGTTTCACAACCTCTAGGCCACAGAACACAAGTACTCAAGGACTTGCCCATTTTTATGAGTTAGCAAACTCCCCTCAAATTAAGTAATAAAACTGGAGACCAGGAATTACATTTTTTTCTAGTTCAGGGATCTGTTCTCTACACGATGCTGTAGGGTGTGACTGCTTTCCTGAGAACTCTTGAGTTAGTTTCAGGGCCCTACAGTGCTGATGCTTTCCATCAGTTCTTGTGAATTAAACCTGGAATAAGAGAAATCTGCACTGGAAGCATCACTATAAGCATATACCTTTAACGTTTGAGTAGTACATTACCTAACTGTGGGGTGTCCATTTCTACACCATCACTGAAAAGTGGTGTTTTCATCCAATAAGCAGTGTCCTGTTCCTCTGGAGACATAGGGGAGCCCTGAAGCATGCCACCAAGACACCGCCCAATAAGCAGAGCAAGGGTTCTTTCCAGATCCACCAGCCACACCCAGGACTGGGCTGGCTGAGGTAACGGCAAGCCAGCAGGATCTATCAGTTCCGGGCCTCCTGAAGACAAAATCATGAGTAATGGTGCCTTTATCTGGTACTTGTAAGATCCAAAAGTCTCTCATGGTCTGCTATTCTAATGACAGTACTTTCTATATATATTCTCTTTACTAATTTGAAATATATTCAAAGACATTAGGCTATCAGATAAATTTTTTCTTTGTAAAGTTACTAATTTTAAGGTAAGCATTAAATGGCACATGGAGCTCTACTCCTGCTTTCCTCATCAAGATCCAATCTCCCACCTCTACGAAGGAAGTGCTTACGGCAGGCAGCTCATTCCTCCAAAATCAACCAAGATTTGATCGACTAAAGTGACATTTAGCCATAATCATGAGAACAAATACCAATGAGATAGTTTTAAAAAAACATACAAATTTAAAAATTGTCACCTGGAAAGAGAAATAAAATTAATAAAGGAAAAACTGGTAGGAATTTAAAAGTTAAATGAGTTTTTTTACACTAGCACTAAAACTATAAGTAAATATAATGAATAATTTTATGCCAATAAGTTTGAAAAACAATAAACTTATTTTTCTGGAGGATATTTTTTTCCAAAAATATTTTGAGAAATATTAACAAGAAACAAAAGGCTGGAAGAAAACAAGAAGCAAAAAAGGGGAATTGATAGCCACACTCTATCTACATAAAAGACTCCCAGGGTCAAGTAGTTTAATGTACATGTGCTTTTAAACTGTCAAGAAGAGAAAATTCATGCCATGAGATTGGTTTAACTTTGTCAGTAAATTCAGGCAAGGACACATGAGAAAGAAGAGTTATAGAAATACATCAGTTACTAACACAGATACAGAAATTCAAAATAAAATGACACTTAGGTCACATGATTCAAAACAGAGTGATTCTTAGAAAATTTTGATACTGTAGAAAATAATAAACTGAGAGCAGTCTTCTATGAGTTCTTTGTGCCAGGTATGAATCCTGGCAGTTTTAAATTTGACACAACTTCATCTACATTCAGTGGTTATAGAACCAATGTTAACACAAGACATTTTTTTTAATATACTTTTATTGGGGGCTCTTACATCTATTATCATAATCCATACATTCATTCAGTGTGTCAAGCACATTTGCACATACGCTGCCATCATCATTTTCAAAGCATTTTTTTCTACTTGAGCCCCTGATATCAGATTCTCATTTCTTCCCCCTCCCTCCCTTGCCCTCTCCCTTGGTAAGTTATAGAATATTATTTTCATATCTTACATGGTCCTGTGTCAACCCTCACCAACTTTTCCTGTTGTTCATCCCCCTGGGGGGAGGGAGGTTCTAGGTTGATCCTTTTTTTTTTTTCCCTAGGTTGATCCTTGTGATCAATTCCCTCTTTCTCCACCCACTCTCCCCTAATCCTCCTGGTATCTCTACTCTCACTGTTGGCCCCGAGGGTTTATCTATCCTAGATTCCCTGTGTTGTGGGCTCTTATCTGTAGCAGCATGCATGTTCTGGTCTAATCCTATTTGTAAGGTAGAACTGAGGTCATGATAGTGGGGGAAGGAAGTACCAAAGAACTAGAGGAAATTAGTGTTTCATCAGTGCTACACTGTACCCTGACTGGCTCATCTCTTCTCTGTGACCCCTCTGTGAGGGGATGTCCAATTGTCTACAGGTGAGCATTGGGTCTCCACTCCAATGTCCCCCAACCCCCATTCACATTGGATATGATTTTGTTCTGGGTCTTAGATGCCTGACACCTGATCCCAGGGATAGCTCCCTCATGATCACACAGGCTGGTGTGCTTCTTCCATGTGGGCTTTGTTGCTTCTCAGCTAGATGGCCGCTTGTTTATCTTCAAGTCTTTAAGA